GAAGTATCTTTACACTTCAGTTAAACTTTAGTAGCGATTTCTGGACCATTAAGTTTCAGAGGCCAATGAAGATGGAATTCACATGAAATGGATTGTTACCATCACTAATAATTTTGTGTTTTCTCTGTCTAGCTTCAGACAGTCATGTTACAATTGTGTTTTAATAGTTTAGTGCAATTAAGGATGATTGAAAATCACTTACAATTAATGCATCAAGTTTGGAGACTCGCACACATTTTAGTGTAAGAAGGGGCGTTCCGCGAGCGCTATGTCATGGGTTCGTATCCTGGCCGGGGAGAATTTACTGGGCGCAATTCCTTAACTGTAGCCTCTGTTTAACGCAACAGTAAAATGTGTACTTGGATGAAAAAACGATTCTTCGCGGCAGGGGATCGTATTCCAGGGACCTGCCCGAAACGCTACGCGTACTAGTGGCTGTACAAGAATGTAACAACTCTTGTATATATCTCAAAAAAAAAAAAAAAAAAAAAAAAAAAAAAATAATATATATATATAACAATAACATACACTGCTGCAATCTCTTGGTTGTAGGATGAATACCTTTTGGAGCAAGAGCCTGTTCACTCTTTCCTACTTGTAGCAGGATAAAGGTGTCAATATCTTCGATTGTCCAACAGCAGCTGATAAAAATAAATAAAATAAAATGTTTATTTAGGTAAGGTACATACATGCAATAAATTTTTACAAAGATTGGTTGACTTATAGGTAGAGCTAGTACATACAATGCCTAAAGCCACTATTACGCAAAGCGTTTCGGGCATATATGATAATTTGTGTATACAGTATTTACAGGTGTCATCATTGGAATTGCATCACAGTTTATGGAACATTACAGCATGGATGAGGATGATTTTGGTGCTGATGTCGATGACGACCCTTTCCCAAATTTGAAAGAAATTTTGTATCTTGCTGACACACTTGCTCGAGATATGATTAAAACTAAAATAAATATTGTAAGTACTGTATATAATGTATGTTATTTTATATTATCAAATAAAAATAAAATAAAGGCTCAGATTGCAGTGGCTTCTTAGAAGATGCAGTATTTGTATATTTTATAAAGTCACTAATTATATTCAGTATTTTAGGCATAATAACAATAATTTTATTCACAAGAAGGTACAATGGGCTTGCAAGATTACATAAGATTGGTATTTTTGCATTCTTGCAAAGCCACTAACATGCATAGTGTTTCGGGCAGGTCCTTCACCACTGTGATGCGCCAAGTTTATTGTAATTACCTAAGTGTAGTTACAGGATGAGAGCTACGCTCGTGGTGTCCCGTCTACCCAGCACTCTGTCATATAACGCTTTGAAACTGCTGACAGTTTTGGCCTCCACCATCTTCTCACTTGCTGCAACCGTCTACCACTCTGTTTGCGAAAGGGAATTTTCTTATATTTCTTCGGCATCTTTCTTTAGTTACTTTAAATCTATGACCTCTTGTTTCTGAAGTTCCAGGTCTCGGGAAATCTTCCCTATCAATTTTGTCAATTCCTGTTACAATTTTGTAAGTAGTGATCATATCACCTCTTTTTCTTCTGTCTTCTAGTTTTGGCATATTTAATGCCTCTAACCTCTCCTCAAAAAACTGTACATAAACTGTATGTGACATTATATATATATACCCAGTACTGTATTATATAAATGACATAATAAAAAATATTGTGACATTCCCCCCGTGTGCATAAAATGAAGTGCCTGCAAATTGTTTTTATCTTTGTAAAATGATAAAATCCCTTCCATGAATACATACATGTAAAAAAAAAAAAATATATTCCACTTTGGCTATGGGAACGTGAAGAAGGGGTGTCAAAGCTCCCAGAGGCGGTCGCGCAGGTCATTCAATAATGCGAGTTGCCAGAAATGTTTTTCAATTATTTGTTCTATGTATTTCCAATGAAGGTTTTATTTTTTTTTATCATATGTGATGCATATTTGTGTTCTTTACAATATGTATACAGTAGAACGTTCATAATGTTACATGGAACTGTGATACATGTATCAGGAATGTTTTTAAAATAAATGTTTATTGTCACTACATTACTTGTTAAAAATTCACAAAAATTACAATATGTACAGTTTCACACAGTAACACTGTATTACACATAGTTATAATCTGGAAGAAAATAAGAAGGCTGAAGCGGTTGAAAAAGCTGACTTTAGGATAGGACATTATAGCGACCTTAGACATTTTTTAGTGAGTATAATTGGACAGACTTATTGCTAGGCAAGGAAGTAAATGAGATGTATGTCAAGTTTTGTGATATACATGATAAAGGCACAAAAAAAATTATACTAAAGCGCACAGGCAGAACTAGGAAACAGGATTCGTTCAACAGAAATTGCGAGAGGGCCAGAGACCAAAAGTCACTAAAATGGAATCAATATAGGAAGAGGCCAAACCCCAAACATATCAGCGATACAAAGATGCGAGAAACATCTATACGGCAGTGAGGAGAGAGGCAGAAAGAAATTTTGAAAAAGGGATAGTGGATAAATGTATAACAGAACCAGGCCCATTCTATAAATTCATAAACAACAAATTGCAGGTAAAGGATAATATTTAGAGGTTGAAAATGGGAAACAGATTCACAGAAAATACAAAGGAAATGTGTGAAAACATTTAACGAAAAGTTCCAAGTGTGTTTTGTAAAATTAAATCTTCAGGGAACCAGACACAATAAGAATTCCAGAGAACAACATAGAGCACATAGAGGTGGTGTCTAGAGACAAAGTAGAAAAAATGCTCAAGGAACTAAGAAAACACAGCAGTTGGTTCAGATGGAGTTTCACCATGAGTTCTGAGAGAATGCACACCTGAGCTCGGCATTCCACTTCAGGTGATTTTTCAGACATCCCTGTGTACAGGAGTCGTCGTAGATGTGTGGAAAAAGGCTAACATAGTTCCAATCTACAAAGTGGCAGCAGGTAAGACCCCCTCAATTATAGACCCGTGTAATAGTCAAAATATTGAACAAAATAATAAAAACTAAATGGGTAGAACACCTGGAGAAAAACGATATAATATCAAACACAGTATGGTTTTCGATCTGGAAGATCCTGTGTAACGAATTTACTCAGTTTCTATGATCAAGCCACAGAGATTTTACAGGAAAGAGAAGGTTGGGTTGATTGCATCTATCTGGACCTAAAAAAGTCTTTTGACAGAGTTCCACGTAAGAGGTTGTTCTGGAAACTGGAACATATTGGAGGGGTGACATGTGAGCTTCTAGCATGGATGAAAAATTTCCTAACTGATAGAAAAATGAGGGCTGTAATCAGAGGCAATGTATCAGATTGGAGGAATGTCACAAGTGGATTACCACAGGGTTCAGTTCTTGCACCGGTAATATTCATTGTCTACATAAACGATCTACCAGATGGAGTACAGAATTATATGAACATGTTTGCTGATGATGCTAAGATAATAGGAAGGATAAGAAACCTAGAAGATTGTCATGCCCTTCAAGAAGACCTGGACAAAATAAGTATATGGAGCACCACTTGGCAAATGGAATTTAATGTGAATAAATGCCATGTTATGGAATGTGGAATAGGAGAACATAGACCCCACACAACCTATAAATTGTGAGAAATCTTTAAAGAATTCTGACAAAGAAAGGGATCTAGGGGTGGATCTAGATAGAAAACTGTTACCCGAGAACCACATTAAGAACATTGTACGAGGAGCCTATGCTACACTTTCTAACTTCAGAATTGCTTTTAAATACGTGGATGGCGAGATACTAAAAAATTATTGTTCACAACTTTTGTTAGACCAAAGCTGGAATATGCAGCGGTTGGTCTAACTGCTGCATAGTGGTTATCCAAATTAATAATAACTTTTAAACATCCTCAAGTGTTTGTGTTCTTTGTTTTGTGATTGTTGATACGCTTTTTTGGCCACTCTAGCACTCATAATGTTCTTTTCCTTAGCAATTACAGTGCATATCTTTGACATAAATTTGTTGTACTGCCTCGCTAGTTCAACACCCTGTGTACGATTTTCATATTTACGAATGATTTCTCTTTTTTTTTCTTCTCTGGTCATTCTCACACGTGTTTTCTTGGCTTGAACCTTACCACTGGCTTTCTTGGGACCCATGGCGAGATATATAATAATAACTTTTAAGTTCAAATACCCAAGAATCTGAAAAAAAAAACACTGAAATTCTTTTCAAAGAATTCAGGCGCAATTATCACTATGCAGGAGGCACTGGTAAACTGAGGCGTGGTCGCCGTATCACAACGAGCTAGGTCAGCCATGCGTGTATCAACAAACTTTGTTCCAGAGGCAAAGTTCGTAACCCGATACAGATTTTATGAAGAAATCGGGCTCGTAACCCAAAACGTTCGTAAAGAAGGGCATTCGTAAGCCGAGATGTTACTGTATGAGGGAAAGTTACCGAGTGTTCGTCGAAAGTATCGAAAAGTGAGACTCTTATGTTTTTGTATGCAAATACCCCTTTGCAGCATTCAATTGCAGACGATTTGTTAGCAAATTGAATGACGTAGCCCACAAATTGAGGTGAGAAAACTGGAGAGAATAAACATTGGAGTGAGGTTGTGTGTGCACGGGCACCGCTCGGCTGACCTTGCAGTGTGCAGGTCATTTACTGGGCCAGTGAAAGTGTTAAAATAATGTTAGATTAAACACTGTGCCGTGCCAACCGAGAAAACTTGGTCTGTTGGAAACTGCCCCAACCGAGAAAAGACCTTTTGAATATTTGGTACCCATTCAAAATTTGTGTGCTGTAGGTTGTGACAAAATGGACTCTTAAGGACCTGTAGTTAGAGGCAGCCGTCTTGGAAAAATCTCCCTGAATGCCGTTGGACTGCTGGGTGGGTTAGTACTGAGTGAGCAACCATGGGTGGCACACACGCCTCTGGCTCCCAAACACCTGTCTGACGTGGTGTTGAAAGATCGCGCGCTGTCAGTGAAATTCAGGCCTTTTTTTTTTTTTTTTTTTTTTTTTTGAGATATATACAAGAGTTGTTACATTCTTGTACAGTCACTATTATGCGTAGCGTTTCGGGCAGGTCCCTGGAATACGATCCCCTGCCGCGAAGAATCGTTTTTTCATCCAAGTACACATTTTACTGTTGCGTTAAACAGAGGCTACAGTTAAGGAATTGCGCCCAGTAAATCCTCCCCGGCCAGGATACGAACCCATGACATAGCGCTCGTTTGAAGAACATAAGGGTCATGATATTGGTGAAGCTAGGCGCAATAAGGACCTAACACAAAGGTCGGATGCAAGTGATACAGCACCTATGAGGACGAATCAGCGAGTGTATCCAGTTGTAGCTCGGAGTGCCACCCTTGCTCACCTATGCCATCTCCAATTTATATAGATGATACATAGATGAATCATTTATTGGGTTCAATGATGATGCATCTGATCCAAGTAGCATAGATGAACAGTGTTAGCAGCTTCCATGGTGGTGTTTTCCATAGATATTTTCAAGAAGAGCTGATTTTTTTCCAGAATACCTGAATCTCTTCCATATTGATTAACACTCTTCGAGGTTGGTTGAATCTCTTCCAGTGTGGGACCTTGCAAAGCGATCTTTTCAATACTACCTTACAAATTGATCTTTTCCTATAATCTTTTCAAGACTACCTTATGCTTTACAAGCTTGGCTACATACCACCTACAGTAGTAAAGCCAAGGGTGTAAGTGAGTGCATTATTTGCAAGCACATAGAACGAAGAAACAGGAAGTGAAAATCTATCTGTACCTGGTGCAACGAGAGCGAAGTTGCACTGTGTACGATGGACTGCTTCGTTGATTATTACTCACTTCCGAAGTACTGTGTGTGTAATACAGTGTGTTACTGTGTAAATAGTGTGTGAAACTGTGCATAATGTAATTTTAGTTAATTTTTAACAAGTAATATTGCGACAATAAACATTTATTGTGAAACGCATTACTGACACATGTATCACAGTTCCATGGAACATTATGAATGTTCTACTGTATACATATTGTAAAGGACACAAATATGCATCATATACGATAAAAAAAATATTAATAAAACCGCATTGGAAATACATAGAACAAATAATGGAAAATATATTTATGGCAACTCGCGGTGCTTGATGGCCTGCGCGACCGTGTCTGGGAGCTTTATGCACGGGCGACCAGCCCCTGATGATGTCACAGCGCACCTTGTCCACGTCCCCACAGCCAAAGTAAGTAGAATTTGGTATTTATTTTTATATAAACATGTTCAGGGAAGGAAATTTATCATTTTACAACAAAAATAAAAATGGGGGAAACACTTGATTTCATGCACACGGGGAATGTCATAATAAACTCGGCATATCACAGTGGTTAAGGACTTGCCCAAAATGCTATGCGTGTTAGTGACTTATAAGAATGTAAAACCATCAATGCTATTTACTCTCATAAATCCAATGTATCTTCTTGTATATGCAGTATATATATAAGTAAAAAAGTGAACTGAGCTTGAAATTTATTAAGATAATACTTAAAAATATGTTTCTTTTATAGTTTGAAGAGCAGCTAAAACAGCTGGATAGGGCTCATTCTGATGCCAGTAAAGAGCTCGAGGCATCCATGGAGTCCTTTTTTCAGAAGATGAAGATATGGGAATCGGACTTTAAAAAGGTATTTGTACATCATATACTGTACATTGGTATCAGGACAGATATTAAGTGGGCTTGTATTTTGAGGTATTCCAGAACAAATTAAAAATGCGTACACTGTACTGTAATGCATTGCTATTTTTAATTTGTGTAAATTTAGCTTACAGGGTTTTCTTTGGGATGGAAATTCATTTCTAACATTTTTTAACTGCTAGACTTGACTTGTAGGTTAAAATATCAAGGTCATTTTGAGAACAAGACCACTATGTCTTTGGAACTTAATAAATGTAATTGGTTAGAATAGTGACAATTCTATCAAAATTTAACTGAATTTATCCAAGGGCCACCATCTCTAGTGGCTTCAACACACACAATCTGGTGGCTGGTCAAAAGTCACCCCCTTATCCCTGATGATTTTTGTATGGCTGAATTTTAAGCTGAAGTATTGTCTTGGTATTAAATGGCTTTGGCAGAGATATTCCATGGGGTAAAAATGCAGCTTTCATTTTCTGTCCACAGTAATTATATATACCATGCTGTACAGTTAAACACATGCTTTCAAAACAACTTCAGACTGACGCTGAGCAAAAAAACATTTGTCCCAAAATAGTTTGTGTTAAAGTAGAAATTTTCACCAACCATAGAAATTTGTTAAAAATGCATATAGGCTTTCCTTTGGCACAGAGTATTTCTAATACTGTAGTGCAACCATCTACAAAGTCTTTTAAAGCAAATTTTAACCCTTAGACAGAGGTTATCGTCAGTTTTTGATTCACAGGGTAATGCGGTTATCATATGAAGATTTAAAAAATTGTCTGGGTTTTTCATGTATTTAAAGTTGGGGGACCTGCTAGGGTTACAAAAGGGTGCTGGAGTACCACCTAAAGGGGTTAGGTTAGGCCTGGCCCCCAGGGAAACAGTTCTCAACTAAATAAGATATAAATATGGTCTGCAATCTAGAACAGATCACCTAACCCTAAGCAATAGGGCTAATGGATACTCCAGGTTAGTTAGTTTACTTAGTTTATTAACCCTAAAACCCCCGAGTACAACAGAAAAACGTAACCACCTCGTTCTTAACCCTTGTATGGCGCCGGGCTATTATCCATAGCCTGCCATTCTCATGTTATGAGGAAGGCAGTGAGGGGGGAGAGGCAGTGAGGGGGGAGAGGCAGTGAGGCAGTGAGGGGGGAGAGGCAGTGAGGGGGGAGAGGCAGTGAGGGGGGAGAGGCAGTGAGGGGGGAGAGGCAGTGAGGCATTGAGGGGGAGAGGCAGTGAGGGGGGAGAGGCAGTGAGGCATTGAGGGGGAGAGGCATTGAGAGGGGAGAGGCAGTGAGGCATTGAGAGGGGAGAGGCAGTGAGGCATTGAGAGGGGAGAGGCATTGAGGGGAAGAGGCAGTGAGGGGGAGAGGCAGTGAGGCATTGAGGGGGGAGAGGCAGTGAGGCATTGAGGGGGGAGAGGCAGTGAGGCATTGAGGGGGGAGAGGCAGTGAGGCATTGAGGGGGGAGAGGCAGTGAGGCATTGAGGGGGGAGAGGCAGTGAGGCATTGAGGGGGGAGAGGCAGTGAGGCATTGAGGGGGGAGAGGCAGTGAGGCATTGAGGGGGGAGAGGCAGTGAGGCATTGAGGGGGGAGAGGCAGTGAGGCATTGAGGGGGGAGAGGCATTGAGGGGGAGAGGCAGTGAGGCGTTGAGGGGGAGAGGCAGTGAGGCATTGAGGGGGAGAGGCAGTGAGGCAGTGAGGGGGGAGAGGCAGTGAGGGGGGAGAGGCAGTGAGGGGGGAGAGGCAGTGAGGGGGGAGAGGCAGTGAGAGATAGAAGCAGTGAGGGAGGGAGGGAAGGGTGGGGGTGAGTGAATGCAATTACACAATGAACTTTATTTCATTTGTTGCATTTATGCTATGAATCTGTCAATTTTTTTCCTTAGAATTTTTTGTTAAATTAAAAAAAAAATTGTCCATTTTCCTCCATTCACGTTTACGAACTTACACAATAACCGACGGGTCTCGTCCCCAAGGGGTTCGGAAACCAAGTGGTGCTCTGTAGCAAATTTTTTCTGAGTGATGATGAGCTTGAGGTAATTTGCAGTGGTTGAACCCCATGCACAGATACTGTATGTAAGATAGGGATAGATTAGGGCATAGTACAATGAGAGGAGAACAGAGTAGGGAACATAATATCTGATTTTAGAAAGTATACTAACTGTTTTTGAGACTTTTTTTTTTTATTTGGCTGTGTTGTATGTGGGTGCTGAAGTTCAGTCTCTTGTCTATTAGTATATTTTGGTAGCAGTCTTTCTTGTAAACATATGTTGTTGAATATGACCGAAAGGGTAAGAATAACAATTTTAACACGAATCTTCTCAATATTTCTTATGTTTTTCTTCACTGTTGGAGGTAGTTGAAAAATTAACTCTCTAAAGTTCTAAGCATAAGTACAACATCCTAGCTTTACAATACATTAACAAATTACCATCACACTATAACTAAAAAACTAGGAGCATCAAAATGCTCCTACGTCTGGCAAGGACGCAATCGCCCGCCATTTGCGAGTTGAGGAAACAATCCTGTGTAGAAACTTACCAGACAATTAACATCCTTTCTTTAACCAAAATTATCAAAAACTTTATAATTCAAATAACATTAATCCAGCATATAATCCAACACATTCAGGACTTGTTACACTAAACTTTACATAAGTGAAGGGTCCCGACATCATCTGTATGTCAACAAATGCCATAGGATCCTGGTCCATCTGCCACAGTGCAAACTGGACCCAGGGTAGTAAATACATGTATGATGGATATAAAATCTCTGTGAATGTAAATAAAGAAGAAAAAGTTTTAAGCAATCAGTAAAACATCGGAGGAAAAAACGGGAAGCGTTTGCATATTCGAGCACCAGGCGTTGACAAGTGCCTAACACTGCCTTGTCGAGTGTCTCCACAAAGTGTAACAAAAAATATTCACTTTTGTGTTTTTCTTACATTCTGCATACAAATTAATAATTCTATAATTTTTTTTTTTTTTTTTTTTTTTTTACATTGGCGGGAATGACCATTTCTTTCCCACTTTATTCTCGTGCTCTGGTGAATTTTGCAAAGCACCAGAAGCACCAAATTTTGCAAAGCAAAATATTAATTTCAACCTGACAAGATAAATACTGTATCTACAAACAAAACCTCGCATATCTAATACTGTATTTCCCACACCTTAGCTTCTGTACATTATTTTTCAAATGACCCCTGGTGAGCGAAAATGTTATGTCTGTCGTCACAGACATGACAGGGTTGGTCTCATAGACCTGTAAAATACTAAATGAAATGGAAGGAAGATGTCAGTGGCTATATTTAAATCATGAACTCTACTGTATTATATTGTATTTTGATATGCTTGGCATAAAAACCAGGGATGTTTTTTTTCCATTTGCTGCCATTAAAAAATATTGTATTATTGTTTGACGCTTAATCCTCATGTCTAAGATTGGAATGTAATGAAGACATCTTAATCCATCCTGGATCATTATCAAGTCCATCCAGGATGCACCAAAATGTCACTTGTGTTTTTATGTATGGGTTGGGGGTTTTCACCTATATTATTGTGACTTGCTGTCTAGTTACAAGCAAAATAATAAAATGTAACGAGTTTATTTTGTATTGTAAACTATTTCTGGCCTAACTTTTATGGCTTTGACAAATCATTCTACTTAGGGATATTGTATATATTACAGTAGAATTAAATTCTCTAATTCCAGGAAATTAATGCACACTTCCATGAACAAATGCATGAATTGAAGGAAAAATTGCTAGACATAAAGAAGCTAGAAGGATTACTGACAAAGAGAGTTCTAGATACAAAGGTAATGTAGAAAATTTTAACATAGTATTTAATTTACTTGCATTGCCAGATACTTGAACTCAAGCCAGTGTTTATCACTGTGCCACGGGTGGCCTTCAGGTAAATTCAGATAAATGTAGTCAAAATGGACTGAAGCAAAATTATTGATATGAGAAATTAGACTTCATAATGTGTATTGATATAATACAGTATATTTAAATTGTTTAGTATAGTATGAATCTATGAAATGAGGAAAATGGAAGAGATTTTACTTTTAAAGTTCATTTCATCCCTATATAAAAGAATTGAAAGTACAAGAATTTACCAGTAATGTAATGTAAAGGTTTGAACTGTATGAACTCTTTTGAAGGGTGCCAAGAATGATACCAAAAAAATGCTAGAAGAGATTTGCATAAAAGTTCTTATTTACCTGAATTTACCTGAGGAACCACAATTTCTAGTAACCTCAACAAGGACAGGAAACCAGTGGTTTGTCAAAGGCCAGCCACTGTCTGAGGATTTTTTTCTAGTTTAATTTTGAACTGGAATATTGCCACAATGAAGGACGGACAATAACAGGTACGTTTTCACTCATAAGGTAATAAACTTGTAGAACAGCCTACCCGAGGATCTATAAATGCCTAGACAGTTCAAAATTAATTTTGAACTGTTCAATATTCAGCTGGAAAAAATCCTTGAGATTAATGGGGAACCCTATAATTAATGAGATTTTATGAATAAAATATGCTTGCATAAGAACATAAAAAATATATTTTAAGGTACAAGGGTTGTATATAAGCCACTAAGTGGTGTGCAAAGCCACCGGCTTCCTATTCCCACCAAGACTACTAGCAATGGTGGACCTCTATTATGTTCAAGTAAATTGTAAATAGTATGATATGCATTACTTTTGTCATCTAAAAATTACTCCTAACGCTATTATTTCTCATAATTGTGCATTCCAAGAGTGCTTTGTACTGTACAAGTGTGCCTCTTCTACTTGCATATTAACTCTGCTTGTAATGGTAATACAGCACATGAAAATTAGGTATTGTAAAATGTGTGTTTTAGGCATAGACTTTGATGTGGTTCTTGAGCCCTGATTGGTCAGGGTTGGTGTTTGGGCTTATGTAATTACCCAAGTGTAATTACAGGATGAGAGGTATGCTTATGGTGTCCTGTCTTCCCAATAATCCTATTCATGATACAGAGGTACCTCAGTTTTTGTATTTAATCTGTTCCCAGAGACGGTATAAAAACTGAAAGTACGAAAACCGAGATTGAATTTTCCCATAAGAAATAATGTAATTTGAATCTATACCCCCCAAAAATATTAACTAAAAAGTGTGTTTTATATGGAAAACTACTTATAGTACCTTACCTTTTATGGAGGACTCTTGTTGGCATATGGAAGACGGTGAGGAGGGGGGAGGTGGTGGTGTGTTAGTGATTGGAAGGCGAATTCCCCCTTTGTTATAACATCAGGCAGTGATGACATTTCTTGGGTACTCTCTTATGTTTTGCCTGCAAGCAACTAGGACCTGCTTGTGGCTCTGCTTGTTTTTCTCACTAAAAACCTGTCTAGGGATACTTGGTTTTCCCTACATTGTAACACTTATCTGAAGTGAGATACCACATTGTCATTAAAAAGGTTAACACAATGGCCTGCTACAGCTTTATTTGGGTGAGCCTTTTCAACAAAACTTTGCATTTTTTCCCATACTGTTCACAATTTCTTAAGTGTTGAGGAAAGAATCCTCTACTGCCTCCTCCTCTCTTAAAGAAATTTCCTCAGTTGCCTCTTGTTGCTGGTCCTTTTGAAGGGCTAGGAGTTCGTCGGTGGTCAGTTCTTCGCTGTGTTCCTCCATCAACTCCTCCACATCAGCACCATCCAACTCAAAGCCCAATTTCTGACCCAGAGAAACAATGTCCTCAACAAGAGGCGCTTCAGGTTCAGGCTCAAACCCCTCGGTCTTGTTCTGAAACACATTCAGGCCACAAAATTTTCTCCAGCCACAGATCCTGGTTCTTAGTCACTTTTTCCCAGGCTTTGTCTATGAGGTTTAAAGCACTCAGAATGTGAATTTTTTTTTCTAGAACTCTTTGAAGGTGAGGTTTGTGGCATCAGTCACTTGGACACATTTCTGGGAAAGTGCCCTGCCATAAAGTTTCTTAAAATTGGCAATGATTTTCTGGTCCATAGGCTGATTTAGAGGAGTGGTGTTGGGAGGAAGGAACTTTATTGTAACAAAACTAAATTCCTCCAACAATGCATCCTTCAAGCCTGGAGGATGAGCAGGAGCATTGTCGAGGAGAAGCAGGGCCTTCAGTGGCAAACTTTGCTCCTGCAGATATTTTTTTATGGTAGGGCAAACCACTTCATTCACCCAGTCGGTTAAATATTGCCTTGTCACCCATGCCTTACCATTAGACCTCCACATCACAGTTTGTTTATTCTGCACATTATTTTTTTTTAAAAACCATTGGATTTTTGGAGTGATTAACACAAGCAAGGGTTTAATCTTCAAATCGCTACTTGCATTACCACACAGCACGAGTAAACCTATCTTTCATAGGCTTGTGTCTGAGCAACGACTTCTCCTCTTAGGTAATGTATGTCCTCTTCGGCACTTTTGTCCAGAATAGTCCTGTCTCGTCACAATGAAATACTTGTTGTATGTATCCCTCACTATCTACAAAATCTTTAAAATCGCTGACAAATCTTTCAGCCGCTGGTTTGTCTGAGCTGGCTTCCTCACCTTGCCACACAACACAATGAATGGGGGGGTCTCGGGGTTCCTTCGGTCGTCGTAAGCCAGTAGTGCCAGATTCGGGGCTAGCACCTTCTCTAGAGCTGTCGGCGCAGTGATCGCTCTCAGCATCGGTTGGGCTGTCATAGGGGTCGTCAGCCCTTTCGCGGGTTGCCCCGTTGACGGGGCGATAGGGGGGAGGCTCGTGTTGTTTGTTCTCGCCTGGTCCCACGATTCGTGGGCATTTCGGGTCGTTCATTCATTTCATTCCTTCAGCCTGCGGTGTTTGGTCGCTCCTCCTTCGGGGAGATCTGGGCTGGCAGGGTGGGCCTATTCTCCTGTGCTCTGTCAGGTCATCCGGGAGTGGGTTCACTTGGGTGTGGTCGAAACAACAACGCCCCTCAGCTGTTTTCAGTTCCGAAACGGGACTGTGGATCTGCGATTCATACTGGACTTGTCTAGTCTGAATCCCTGGGTCTTTTGCTCCTCCTTTCGGATGACCACTTTATCTCGGGTCCGGCTGCTTTTGGCACTAGGTGACTGGATGGTGTCTCTGGACCTCCGGGGTGCATATTGGCATGTCCCAATTCATTCGGGGTTCAGGGACCGGCTCGGTTTTGTCGTGGGGCAACAAGCTTACTGCTTTCGTTGCCTTCCATTCGGCTTGAATCTGGCACCTCGAATGTTCACATGCCTTAACTGGGTCATGGTGACCTGTTTGCGTCTGTTAGGGGTTCAGGTTCTGGCTTACCTTGACGACTGGCTGGTGTGGGCTCCCAGCCAGTCCGTGATGTCTGCTTGCCAGGGATATGGTTCTTTCCCAGCTCGCCGGGTTCATGTTCTTGGTGAACTGGAGGAAGTCCCATTTGGTTCCCCTCTGAGGTTTGGACTTGGCTGGGTCTTGTGTGGGACACTCTGACCTCTTCCTTCTCTCTCACTCCTGCGATTCTCTCACGGCTGCGGTCCTCCCTCTGGCTGTTTTTGGAGAGTACCCAGGTCGCACATTGATTGTTTGAGCGGCTGTGCGGGAGCCTGAGCTTCGCCGTGCTGGTCTACCCATCGGGTCAGATCTGGCTTCGGCGGATGTTATGGTTTCTTTGGGGTCGTCCCTTCCACCGCTCTCACAATCAATGGGTTTGGATCCCAGGAGCCTTGTGTCGGCTGTTGTGTCGTCGGCTTCCTCTGCGGGTTTTACGGGGTTCTGTGCTATAACGCCTCCCCGAGCCCTCGCTCGATTTGTTCACCGATGCCTCGTTTCTCGGCTGGGGTTTTGTGACAAGTGCTCACCAGGCCGGCCAGGGTCAGTGGGGTCCGTCCTTCCGTCGAGCTCACAGCACAGTGTGGGAGTTTGTAGCAGTATGGCCTTTGCTTCAGAGGATTTTGGTCGCTCGAGGAGCAACGATCCGGCTCCATTCGGACTGCTCCCCCATGGTTCATTTCCTGAACCACGGGGGATTCGATGCGGTCCTTGGGTGTTTGGGGCTGGTCGCTTCGGGTGACTCGTCTGATGAGTTTTTGGGGTTTGGCTCTCCTGGCGGTTCAGGTTCAGGGGGTGTCAAAAGTCCTGGCGGATGGGCTGTCTTGGTCGTTCAGTTGGCTCTGCCGGATGTACGGGCGCCCAGAGGTCGACCTCTTCGCAACAGCGTGGTTGAGGCGTCTTCCAGTTTATGTGGTGCCCTTCCCAGGCTGCGAGACCGTCAGGGTCGATGCCTTTCGGCTGGACTGGTCGAGGTGTAGTTACCTGTATCTCTTCCCTCTGGTCTGGTTGTTGCTCTGGATCCTGGCTCGGTTGGAGATTTACCAGGAGAGAGTAGTCCTGTTGACTCCTTGGTGGCCGGGCCAGCCTTGGTTTCGGGCGCTTCTTGCTCGCTGTCCGAACCCGAGGGTCTTCCCGCGGCTCCGCCTCTTTCAGCAGATCAGTCCGGTCTAGTACGTGGCTGGTTTGATCTTCTCCACTCTGTGTCTGGTCTTTTTGACGCGGGTGTATCACCACTTGTATGGTGATCAGGTGGCTTCGTTGATGGTGTCCCACCTGCAAGTTTCGTCTAGACGGCAGTTTGAAATTTCCTGGCGGTCCTTTCGGCATTTTTGTCTCTTCGTAGGTTGTCTTCGATTTCTGATCGGGTTTTTTGTCCTTTCTCTCTTGGTTGTTTCAGGACCATCATCTTATGCCAAATACTGTCGCCTCGTATCGTGCGGCGCTGGCGGAGCCGCTGCAGCTTGCATTCGGGGTGGATGTCACTTCTGCTCCATTCCGCAAGCTTTCTTAGGCGTTGTTTCACCTCCGGCCTGCTCATGCGCCGCCTGAGCTGTCCTGGTCGTTGGACCGGGTGCTCTCTTTTCTCTCTTCTCCTCAGTTTGTGGTGGCCCCCTCGGTTCAGGACTGTTTTTCTAAGGCTCTTTTCTTGTTGGCTTTGGCCTCTGGGGGTTCGGTCGGGGAGCTTCATGCTCTCCTCCATCGCAGGGGTTTCTGCTCTTTCGGTCCTGGTGGTCGTTTCGTTCGTTTGCAGCCTTCTTCTTTTCTGGCGAAGAATGAGTCTGCTGCTTTCCGAGGGGGTCCTTGGGTTGTTGATGCTTGGTTGGTTCGGCCGGGGGTGCATCATGTTTTGTGTCTGTGGCTCTTCGCCGTTATTTGCGCGCCATGGCCTCTGTGGCAGAGGACGTGCTTTGGGTTGACCCTTCTCCCAGGTTGTCCGCAGGATTATTCGGTCCTGCCAGCCTGCAGTCTATCCCTGTGCCCACGCCTTTCGTAAGTTCAGCTTTCGGCTGCAGTTTTGGTAATATGTCCTGGCCTATCTTCGGCACGGGGTTTTTGGAGGTTGATCAGGGTCCTAGATGCATGTTCCTTGTTAATGTTCTTCTCGGGCGTGTATAGTCTTGGGTCGCAGGTTGCGACCAGTTGTCTTGACTTTGAGTTGAGGAGCAAGTGAAGACCTCCTCCCGGGTGAGTCCCATTTTCCTTATCTTTGGTTAGGTAGCTCCGGGGAGCCAAAGGGGCTCTCCACAGAAAACCAGCATTGAATGTAATGAAATGCCATTTTCTGGGTGAGATCCGGAGGCTCCCGGCATCCCTCCCTCCCTCCCTCCGGTCGGCAGTTTTTTACGTTTTTGATACTCGGTCTCTGAACTGGGGAGAGTTGCCGGTGCGGAGGTCTGGGACTCCCCTGCTCCCCTCCCAGGGAGGAGCAGGTTGCGCAGATGGATGCGCGGCGGTTGTGGTGACTTCATGTTTGTTTCCCGGTTTTTGATTGGGAAGTTCTTTTTGCTTTTTCGACTTTTGGTTTGCAATTTTTTGACCAGCAGTAGTTTGTTTTGAAATTCCTACCTTTCTGGGTGCCTGACCTGGTAGATGGCAGACAAAGACTGCTTCCAATTACACGGGGGTGTCTTTAGGCCATTGCTCCTCGTGCCTCTCTTGAGGGGGCCAGGTTCTGGCTCTGGTCCCCGGTAGGCTTAGAACTCCTTCGATTGACTGTTGCCACGGTCTAATATATACACATCAGCCCGGTATAGCTCCAGGGAGCCTCCGGGTCTCACCCAGAAAATGGGGTTTCATTACATTCAACGCTGTTTTTTTTTTAAGAGGAGAGGGTCAAGTATACTGCCTGTGGAATACAAATGTTGATGGGTAGGGTGGGAGAATTGAATTTATTCACAAACATACTGGAGCCTGTCACTAAGGTAAGACTGAAGGTATTGGAGGGAGTGACCACTGACTCCATAATGATGTGATTTAAGGAGGAAATTGTGGTGGTAAGTGCCAAAAGCCTTACTTGTGTCCACAAATAACCCAACAGGGAACTAATTTTTATTAAGATCTGTATGTATCAAGTTAATCATATTAGTCAGTGCATCATTGGCTTTTTTCTGTGGGTAGCTCTATGGCCTACTGAAGCTTACTGGGCTGATATGTATGTATGTATGTATGTATTAGACCGTGGCATCAGGAGATTGAGTTCTTACCTACCTGGGACACCGAGCCAGAACCTGGCCCCCTTCAGAGAGGCACGAGGAGCAGTGGCCTATGGAAACCCCCGTGTGTTTGAAGGCATTCCGTGTCTTCCATTGACCGGGGTTTGGCAACCAGACAGGTAGACATAACGAAACAAACCCCACATGGTAAATATTGCTGCCTAAAACCGAACAGGGAGGCAGAACTCCCAAACTAAAACAAGCAAACGTCACTAATGCCATGGAAGACATGAAATGCTTCCAAACACACAGGAGATTCCATAGGCCATTGCTCTTCATGCCTCGCTGAAGGGTGCCAGGTTCTGGCTCATGGTCCCTGGTAAACAAGAACTCCATCGACTGATATCATGGTCTAATACATACATATCAGCCCGGTAAGCTCGGGGGAGCCTACAGGGCTCACCCAGAAAATGGCATCTCATTACATTCAACACTGATTTCTTGGGTCTGAAGTCATATTGGCAAGAGGTAAGTACTGTTTATTGTGTTTAGCTAGATAAGAGTATAGCTGCTTATAGATTAGCTTTTCAAATATTTTAGACATGGTTGGCAGAATTGATATTTTGTAGGTCTGAAATTGTTGACATTATTGAAATCACCACATTATTTTTAAGTAATAAAAGTTCTCATTGGCAGAGTTGTGGGCAGTTCGAACAATTTAAGTGAGGAGGTCGTGAATGCCAAAACCATCAGTAGTTTCAAAGTATCATATGAAAAAGATAATTTACCTGATACTACCTGAGACAGATATGGAAGCCAGGACACCAAAAGTGCAGCTTTTATTTTCTTAGCTTGAAGCTATGATGTCTTTGATATCTTAGTGTGTCCTATAATGTATGAAGTGTTGTAATTTCACAATACAAATTTATCTTGCCAAGATTTTGAAAGATAATGTTTTATGTAATTGAATCTCCTATTTACAGGTGGCATTAGCAGCAAGCTCAGAATCTCAAGCTGAAGATATGGTGCACCTGTATACTAAGGGATATCACTTGTCAAACATTATTGTTGACATTATTAAGGTACATATTATCCATTTAATCCTCATAATTTTGTATCTAAACATTTAAGTATGCATGTGCGTAACGCTTTTCAAATGCGAGTGCATATATGTGACCGCATAATCTTGTAGCCTATTTGTGGTTATATTTGAGCTTATTCGTGTGCATTTGCACATGCACTCTCGTACCAAAAGGACGTAAGTTTATTAATTAAAATGATGTTTTCTCAATAGGAGTGCCAGTATACTGCTTGCAGAGAATGTCAGAATAATATGGCTGTAACAAATAACACATTTCCACACACACATGAAAAGAAAAGAAAGTGGCGATGTTTCTGCTCATTCTGAACACTTATCAGGTTTACTTGTAAGGGTCCTGGATAAGCCAAAATGTCACTTTCCGTTATTTTCATGTTGTGTGCATTGAATTATTAGGTATACACTGCTTCTGACGTTTTGTTGAAATATTTGTAAAATCAGGTAATGAAGGCAGGTGCATTTAGTGTTATACCATAGTTCTATCTAAACTTGTCTAGTTTGTCTGTTGCCTTCAAGCTCGGTGTTGATAGATCTCTGAGGTAGTAATATACAGGCCTAAGCACAGGAGGCCTGTACTTAGGCCTATCGAGGTCCCTCCATGCCAACTACTGACTAGCCAGGATACAAACTGCAATAATTTCCTAATTTGATCCCAGATATCTACTTTTATTGCTTGGTGAACAGAGTCATCAGGTGAAAGGAAATGTCCCCCAACAGTTTGTCTTGTTCAAGGATTTAACTCTGGTGCCTCGGTTGTAGCTAAGGACTATGCAGCCTATAGAACCTTTGTTAGCTTACATTTTGTATAATATTAAACATTACCCACAGAAATGAAAAACTTGATATGCATTAGCCCAAGTTATGCATCGAATTAGTTGCTATATAAAATATAAAAATGCTCTTTCTACTCAGTAACCACTGTAATTTGATCATGTTTTTTTTTTTTTTTTTTTTTTGAACCCACTGCCTGATCCAGCGATTTTACTATGTAATACCCATGCAAATAAAACGACTCAGTTTTTGGAACTCGCTCCTACCCGCCGGCTGCTCCATTATAACAATCTTTTTCCGTTTAAAATGTGTCCCATTTGTTTTGTATTTTTCATTTACGTCTCAATAATGGAGCAGCCTACCCGACAAACACTGAACGAACCTTTATGGTATTTGTCCATTTTTCAAATTGTTTCAACTTTTTTTTTTATTTAAGAAACATGGAGCAGCCTACCTGCCGACCACCGAACAAACCTTTTGCTATCAGGCAAAATGAAAAATAAATATTGAACAAATTTGAAGAAAGAAAAATGTCATAAAGGTTTGTGCAATGTATGTACGGTAGGCTGCTCCATTATTGAGACGTAAATGACAAATACAAAATATATGGAACACATTTGAAACAAAGAAATAGTTGTAATGGAGCAGCCTACCTGCCGAACAGCGAACAAACATTTTTGACACTTGTTGTATTTCAGAAATTTCATTTCCTTTTTCTATAAGTTATTTGCATCGTCTGAGGTGTCCGAGAATGTGTAAGAAGCAGCGCGACCCCACCATGTGGTGTCGTAATTATTCAAACGAGCGTTCTCCATACAAGACGAATTGTCGCCAATCGGACCGGTCGTTACTCGAAATGTTCGCCATTTGAGGCGTTCGTTATTCGAGGTACCACTGTGTGTGTGTAATTACCTAAGTGTAATTACCTAAGTGTAGTTACAGGATGAGAGCTACGCTCGTGGTGTCCCGTCTTCCCAGCACTCTTTGTCATATAACGCTTTGAAACTACTGACGGTCTTGGCCTCCACCACCTTCTCACTTAACTTGTTCCAACCGTCTACCACTCTATTTGCGAAGGTGAATTTTCTTATATTTCTTCGGCATCTGTGTTTAGCTAGTTTAAATCTATGGCCTCTTGTTCTTGAAGTTCCAGGTCTCAGGAAGTCTTCCCTGTCGATTTTATCAATTCCTGTTACTATTTTGTACGTAGTGATCATATCACCTCTTTTTCTTCTGTCTTCTAGTTTTGGCATATTTAATGCTTCTAACCTCTCCTCGTAGCTCTTGCCCTTCAGTTCTGGGAGCCACTTAGTAGCATGTCTTTGCACCTTTTCCAGTTTGTTGATGTGCTTCTTAAGATATGGGCACCACACAACAGCTGCATATTCTAGCTTTGGCCTAACAAAAGTCATGAACAATTTCTTTAGTATATCGCCATCCATGTATTTAAAAGCAATTCTGAAGTTAGAAAGCATGGCATAGGCTCCTTGCACAATATTCTTAATGTGGTCCTCAGGTGATAGTTTTCTATCTAGAACCACCCCTAGATCTCTTTCTTTATCAGAATTCTTTAAAGATTTCTCACATAATATATAGGTTGTGTGGGGTCTATGTTCTCCTATTCCACATTCCATAACATGACATTTATTAACATTAAATTCCATTTGCCAAGTGGTGCTCCATATACTTATTTTGTCCAGGTCTTCTTGAAGGGCATGACAATCATCTAAGTTTCTTATCCTTCCTATTATCTTAGCATCATCAGCAAACATGTTCATATAATTCTGTATACCAACTGGTAGATCATTTATGTACACAATAAACATCACTGGTGCAAGAACTGAACCCTGTGGTACTCCACTTGTGACATTTCTCCAATCCGATACATTGCCTCTGATCACAGCCCTCATTTTTCTATCAGTCAGAAAGTTTTTCATCCATGTTAGAAGCGTACCTGTCACTCCTCCAATATTTTCCAGTTTCCAGAACAACCTCTTATGTGGTACTCTGTCGAAAGCCTTTTTTAGGTCCAGATAGATGCAGTCAACCCAACCATCTCTTTCCTGTAATATCTCTGTTGCTCGATCATAGAAACTGAGTAAATTCGATACACAGGATCTTCCAGATCGAAAACCATACTGTCTGTCTATTATATCATTTCTCTCCAGGTGTTCTACCCATTTAGTTTTAATTATTTTTTCCAATATTTTGACTATTACACTTGTCAATGATACCGGTCTATAATTAAGGGGGTCTTCCCTGCTTCCACTTTTGTAGATTGGAACTATGTTAGCCTTTTTCCACACATCAGCTACAACTCCTGTATACAGGGATGCCTGAAAAATCAGTTGAGAAAAGTGTGTATGTGTGTGTGTGTGTGTGTGTGTGTGTAAGTGTGTGTGTAATTACCTAAGTGTAGTTACAGGATGAGAGCAACGCTCGTGGTGTCCCGTCTTCCCAGCACTCTTTGTCATATAACGCTTTGAAACTACTGACGGTCTTGGCCTCCACCACCTTCTCACTTAACTTGTTCCAACCGTCTACCACTCTATTTGCGAAGGTGAATTTTCTTATATTTCTTTAGCATCTGTGTTTAGCTAGTTTAAATCTATGACGTCTTGTTCTTGAAGTTCCAGGTCTTGGGAAATCTTCCCTATCGATTTTATCAATTCCTGTTACTATTTTGTACGTAGTGATCATATCACCTCTTTTTCTTCTGTCTTCCAGTTTTGGCATATTTAATGCTTCTAACCTCTCCTCGTAGCTCTTGCCCTTCAGTTCTGGGAGCCACTTAGTTGCATGTCTTTGCACCTTTTCCAGTTTGTTGATGTGCTTCTTAAGATATGGGCACCACACAACAGTGTGTGTGTGTGTATTCACCTAGTTGTGTTTGCGAGGGTTCAGCTTTGCTCTTTTGGCCCGCCTCTCAACTGTCAATTAACTGTTTTACTAACTACTACTAATTCTCTCCACACCACACACACACACACACACACACACTTGGAATAGGAGAACATAGACCCCACACAACCCTATATATTATGTGAGAAATCTTTAAAGAATTCTGATAAAGAAAGAGATCTAGGAGTGGTTCTAGATAGAAAACTATCACCTGAGGACCACATAAAGAATATTGTGCAAGGAGCCTATGCTATGCTTTCTAACTTCAGAATTGCATTTAAATACATGGATGGCGATATACTAAAGAAATTGTTCATGACTTTTGTTAGGCCAAAGCTAGAATATGCAGCTGTTGTGTGGTGCCCATATCTTAAGAAGCACATCAACAAACTGGAAAAGGTGCAAAGACATGCTACTAAGTGAACCCAGAACTGAAGGGCAAGAGCTACGAGGAGAGGTTAGAAGCATTAAATATGCCAAAACTAGAAGACAGAAGAAAAAGAGGTGATATGATCACTACATACAAAATTGTAACAGGAATTGATAAAATCGACAGGGAAGACTTCCCGAGACCTGGAATTTCAAGAACAAGAGGTCATAGATTTAAACTAGCTAAACACAGATGCCGAAGAAATATAAGAAAATTCACCTTCGCAAATAGAGTGGTAGACGGTTGGAACAAGTTAAGTGAGAAGGTGGTGGAGGCCAAGACCGTCAGTAGTTTCAAAGCGTTATATGACAAAGAGTGCTGGGAAGACGGGACACCACGAGCGTAGCTCTCATCCTGTAACTACACTTAGGTAATTACACTTAGGTAATTACACCCCCCCCCACACACACACACACACACACACACACACACACACACACACACACACACCCTAGGATGCAGCCCGTGACAGCTGACTAACTTCCAGGTACCTATTTACTGCTAGGTAACAGGGGCATTCAGGGTGAAAGAAACTTTGCCCATTGTTTCTGCCTATTGCGGGAATCGAACCCGCGCCACAGAATTACGAGTCCTGCGCGCTATCCACCAGGCTACCAGGCCCCTGTGTGTGTGTGTGTGTGTGTGTGTGTGTGTGTGTGTGTGTGTGTGTGTGTGTGTGTGTGTGTGTGTGTGTGTGTGTGTGTGTGTGTGTGTGTGTGTACTCGCCTAGTTGTGTTTGGGGGGGTTGAGCTCTGGCTCTTTAGTCCCGCCTCTCGACCGTCAATCAACAGGTGTACAGATTCCTGAGCCTATCGGGCTCTTATCATATCTACACTTGAAACTGTGTATGGAGTCAACCTCCACCACATCACCCCCTAATGCATTCCATTTGTCAACCACTCTGACACTAAAAAAGTTCTTTCTAATATCTGTGTGGCTCATTTGGGCACTCAGTTTCCACCTGTGTCCCCTTGTGCGTGTTCCCCTTGTGTTAAATAGACTGTCTTTATCTCCCCTATCAATTCCCTTCAGAATCTTGAATGTGGTGATCATGTCCCCCCTAACTCTTCTGTCTTCCAGCGAAGTGAGGTTTAATTCCCGTAGTCTCTCCTCGTAGCTCATGCCTCTCAGCTCGGGTACTAGTCTGGTGGGAAACCTTTGAACCTTTTCCAGTTTAGTCTTATCCTTGACTAGATATGGACTCCATGCTGGGGCTGCATACTCCAGGATTGGCTTGACATATGTGGTATACAAAGTTCTGAATGATTCTTTACACAAGTTTCTGAATGCCGTTCGTATGTTGGCCAGCCTGGCATATGCCGCTGATGTTATCCGCTTGATAAAGAATTTCCTCTCTTTCAAATTTCCTGTGTGTGTGTGTGTAAATTATAATATAATTATAATATAATATAATAATTTATTTTATTTTATGAGATGTACTTTCCAAGTGCATTACATGTTTTGAGATTGCTGTTTAATGCCTAGGATATTTGAGATGGCTTTCCATGTACTTTTCATGTTTCATTTTGCTCTTTTCGTTTTACTCTTATAATAGGAAATGTAACATAAAACATAGGGGTATAGGCATGTCATAGTCCAGCCCCAACTTGCCTAGGTGCAACCCTTTAAAAATTATTGGCTTTTATAGCAATTCTCTGCAATTTTAGTGCATGTGTAGGCTGGAGAGGGATTGGAGTGCATGTGGTGGGGGGGAGTGGGGGGGTTGAGGGATGGAATTGCATGGGTTAAGGGGTGGGGGAGAAAGAAAGGGAATTATCAGGAGAAAGCACCAAGCCATTATGGCTATATAGCACTTGGAAGGGATCAGGATAAGGATTTGGGATGGGATGGGGGGAGGGGGAAGGAATGGTGCCCAACAACTTGGGCGGTCGAGGATTGAACACAGACCTGCATGAAGCGAGACCATCACTCTACTGCTCCACCCAAGTGGTTGGGGCAACATGTGTTAGGGAGATGAGGGATGGGAGTACACGTGGGGGAGAGCAGGCCCAAATTCTGCTCCTAGCTCCCAGTTGGCTAGGTTGGGCCTTGGAAGACTGGTGTATTTCCAAAGACATGACCGTACTAGTGCTTAATTTTGGGAGCTACTGCAGACCTCTGTTCTTTGCTAGTGGCAGTGGCAACAGCTGGATACTGATGGCTTTTAGCTTATCCTTATTTCTCTAATAGAACTAAAATTGAAACAGGTTTATTAGGAATGCAAACAGTCACAGTAGGATTGCACCGCTGTCTTCAGGAGATAAATAATTGCAGGGTTAGGCTTTTTTTTATAAATACGTACTGTATTGCATAAGTGATTGTATTTTGCTCCACTGAGTTTACCAATTTATTTTTTCCACCAAGGTCTGCTATTGTGTAGAGTACTGTACTTTAAATTCTCTTGTTTCCCCTTAAACTATTATCCTTTTATAAGTAATATTTCAATTTTGGATAAAGTAATTTTAAGTTATTTTCAGGTAAGACTGAAAGGTATACAAAGCATAAGGTTCAAAGAAAATATATTTGAGCGCCATCACCTTGGTGTAATTCAGTCTTGTATTCTTGAAGAAGGAACTGAAGCAGACATGCTAAACTCCCTCAAAGGTTGTTGTTCTGGATTTAACCAAAATAAGTTTGAGAAGGACCACCAGGGTACGCCCAAGAAATTTGATTTTGAGGTAGAGGAGGTTAAAATAGAACAGAAGGAGCCTGGCTTCAAGAACATGGTAAGACATTAAAACTTGTATGTGCAATAATTGGCCAGATTTTTGCTCCATTAAAACAACTGCTAATTCTAATTCTGTTTGACAAATGTTTTTAAGTTTTAAAAGAAACCTAAATGTAATCTTTTCATTTACTGTTAAGTATGAATTTGTTTTCTTTTCCCAAATTGAAATAACAATACTGTATAGTACTGTAATAGGTATTTGTAAATTTTATAAAACCACTAATCCTGTGTAGCATTTTGGCCATACTGTGTCTTAACCCTTAAATTACGCATCGCATCATATGATGCTTTGGAGTACTACGCAAGATTTAAACGGCCCGCGGATACACGGGGTTCACCACACCTTCATCAGGGCTCTTGTAAACAGATGCCATTTTAAAAAAAAATCGTGGGCCAAATTCCCGGGTGTTAGGGGCCTCAGTATTGAGTGAGCTACCAAGCCTGACGCATGCAGCATGAGCTCACAGCACTGCTGTTCAGCTTGTGACCACAGCATCGCCTAAAAATGCCATAATATTCTTGTTCATGCTATTATGTAGCGATGATATTATTACAGAAGACCCCTGACTGTGATAAAACTGACCAGGGTTATGATAATAGCAGGATTGTGGTGATATTTAGTGCTGTGCTCCATGGAGGGAGGTGTAATGCTGTGGGAGGGAGGGTAGTGGCATTGTCTTCTGACTGTGTGTGGCCACCTTTTATTGACTGCACTCACCATACCAGCTTAGTGGTTCGCTATGGTGAACACAAATGTAGAGACTTATATATAACTTGTGTATAGAGGGTATAAACAGCAAGAGGAGTAGGTTGGGAGCCGCCATTTTGGTGAGGGAGGTGGCGTTGTCTGCACGATTTATCATGTTGTTTACTGATGACCACGATGGTCTTTGGGCACCATACCAGTTTACTTGTACAGTATGGTGAATAAAACGGGTAGATATTTATATATAATGTGTGTATATAGCGTAATAACACCACAAACAGTATTGTTGGAGGAGAAATATTAGTGCGTCTGGCCTTGAGGGCGGCAGCCATCAGCTGACTGTGTGAGTAGCTACGTCTTTGTGCCTTTACTCTCCATACAAGCTTAGATGTACAGTTATGGTGAACAAAACATGTAAATAATTATATATAACATCTGTATATAAAAGTAAAAACAGTATGGTGGGAGGAGAATGGTGGCAAGCCAGGTGATGTGAGGGAGGGAGGGAGTGGCAGCCAGTGGCAGGCTGCCACTGCCACTCAGCATACCAACTTAGTGGTTCATTATGGTAAACACGAATGTAGATACTTATATGTAGTGTCTGTATATAGTGAATAAAAGCAAAAACAGTAATGTGGGAGAGTCAGGTGACTTGAGGGAGGGAGGAAGTAGCAGCCAGTGGTGGGCTGCCACTGGCATTGCCACTCAGCATGCCAACTTAGTGGTTCGTTATGGTGAACAAAACATGCAGATTCTTATATATAACCAGTGTATATAGTGTAATAACCGACAAAGTATTTGTTCACTGTTTGATGAACATAATTGAATCAACAATATGAACACCATATTTTTGAGTACAGCGATGATTCACTCATTTTATTATAAAAATATGTCACACTACACACTATTGAATAATATTACAGCAAAAACTACGAAAAATCAATCAGAGACATTGAAATAATTAGGTAATTATCTCTTTGTGGCAACTCCAGCCTGACAGCTGGTGAGCAACAGACTGACTGGGACGCACGCTGAGTCAGCGCCTGTTTTTTGCCAGACTTCCCCGCCCTATAGTGGGCAATATATGCCACTTAAGATTTTTTTATTATTTTTCCCATGATCAGTGAACACAAGTTAACTGGTAATGAAGAAATTTATTTTTTTTTTTTTTTTTGTATGGGCCTGTGGGTGTCAAATGGTATATAGCCATGTGCCATTTAAGGGTTAAAATTAAACTGAAGAACTACAAGATGTTTTGACACTGTCATCCACCAAAACCTTCTTAAATTACATCATTATGAAGTCAAAGGTCACTCCCTCCAATATGTTCAGTCTTACCTTACTGAAAGGCTCCAGTATGTTTCTGTGAATAATTCAATTTCTCCCACCCTACCCATCAACATTGGTGTTCCTTAGGGCAGCATACTTGGCCCTCTCCTCTTTCTCATCTACATTAATGACCTTCCACATGCCTCTCAACACCTCAAACCAATTTTATTTGCTGATGACACAACCTTCATCTTCTCCAGTCCTGACCTTCTTGCTCTAAATGTCACTGTGAATACTGAACTAAATAAAGTCCATCTTTGGCTAACTGCTAACAAACTCACCCTTAACATTGACAAAACTTTCTATATTTTGTTTGATGATAAATCCTCAGATCAAATTAATCTAAGAATAAACAATATCCAAATTAGTAACAAAGATGGTAAATTCCATGGTGTCCTCATCGATAACAAGCTGAATTTCCAGGGACACATTCTAAATATAGCAAAAATAGTTTCTAAAACTGTTTGCATTCTTTCTAAGATCAGATATTATGTACCTCGCCCTGCCCTGGTGACGTTCTATTACTCTCATCTATCCTTATCTCAATTATGGTATTTGTGTTTGGGGTTCTACTACCCAAAATCATCTATGTCCTCTAATTACTCAACACAAAGCTGCTATTAGAACAATATCAAACTCTGGCCCCAGACAGCACTTAGTCACCTTACCTAACTCTTTGAATATGTTAGATATTAAGTCACTGCACATCCTCTCATGTGTACTCTATATATTTAAAACTCGGAACTGTAATGTAAATCCTGACCTTAAGTGTTTCCTAGAAGATTGTAACAGAACCCATGGGCACCACACCAGAAACAAATACCTATTTGATATTGCAAGAGTGCACCTTAACCAAACTAGAAATGCTCTACAAATCAAGGGACCCAGAATATGGAATGACCTCCCCAATTATGTCAAAGGCTCTTTAACCAGTTTAAGAGATAAACTAAGTACTACCTAATAAACTCCAATTAACCTACTTTACCCCCTAAATGTCTAGCTACTTTCTACTACCCCCCTACCATGTCTAGCTACTTTCAAACAATATTGTTTACTGACCAAGTTGTATGATTACTTCTGCCATGGCCCCCCCCCCCTTTTTTTTTCTACACAATTTATACTTTAATCTCAATTAGTATTAAGCTTTTGTCAAGTGGGTTTTTTCCCCCACACCTTGTGCAAAATGCTGTGTGTATTAGTGGCTTTAGGTATTATATGTACTAGCTCTGTCTTTAAATCCAACATTGTTTGTAACTCATCTTTTATGTATGTACTTTTACCTAAATAAACATTTTGATTTTTTTTTTTGTTACTTGATGTTGTAGATGTATATAAGCACCTATAGTACAGTGGTCTACACTTTAAGATTTACAATCGAGAATTCCAGTTGCAGCTGAACACGTAATGCCAATCGGCTAATTGTTGCTTCATCATGCTGGGAGGCAGCTACACCATGTGCTTGTCATCAAACTTCACTAGTGTAGAAATGTTATAACTATTTATTATACCCCTTAGCATTAAGATTGCTCTAGTAAGACATCTTGACAATAAAAATATAGCAAATTACAGTGCAGATATTGGAATAATTGACAATAACATACATCTCTCAATTGACTTGTGGCTTTGAAGCATTTTTATATTGTAAAGTATACACTGAAAAGTTGTTTTGAGTAATTATTCACCAACAAATGACGTGTAGATGTTTTATGCACTCAAAATAAGTATCCTGCATGATTTTTACTTCTCCATTTTCTAGGTTACTATACTCTTATATATTTACTTTCAGGATTTGAACAAAGGTATAATGGAGCAGTTATCTGGACCTTCGGTCAGTGGTAAGTCTTGTACTCGGTTTATAAATGCAGTATAATATACGTACGTTGATATAAACTACTATAATTTCTGTGGGGAGCCCCTACGGCTCCCTGGAGCTTATCGGGCTAATGTATGTTATGTTAGACTGGGACATTAGCTATGGAGTTCAGACCTACCAGGGACCAGCGCCAGAACCTGGCCCCTTCAGAGCGGTTTCAGAGAGCAATGGCCCTGGAAAACCCCATATGGTTGGGGGTTTTCCTTATCTGCCATCGACCTGGGTTAGGCACCCAGAAAGGTAGGCGTAACAAAACAAACCCCACATGGTAAGAAACTTCAACAAAAACCAAACAGAGGTAGAAAACTCCCTACAATCCCAAGCAAACAATTAAACAATCAATTTACTGCCGCGCCGTCTGCACAGCCCTCCCCTCCCCGGGAGGGGGAGGGGGGGGCTCCTGGACCTAACCACGCCGGCTGCCTTCAGTTCAGAAACTAGGCTTCAACCAATGCGAAAAATCCCGCCGACTGGATGGGAGGGAGGGTAGCCAGGGAGCCTCCGGGGCTCACCCAGAAAATGGCGTTTAATTACATTCAAAGCTGGTTTTCTGTGGGGAGCCCCTACGGCTCCCTGGAGCTACATACCCAAAGAGAAGGAAAATAGGGACTTACCCAGGAGGCGGCGGCCACAAACTCCTCAACACGAAGTTGAGACAACTGGCTGTAACTTGCGACCCAAAGCAACACAAGAACACCGAGGAGCATGGATGTTCACCAAATAATGAGCGGCCAGGACCCTGTTCAACTTCCAAAATCCACGCGCTCGAATATGTGCCCAAGACATATTACCAAACACGGCAGCCAAAGCTGCAAACTTCCGAACGTCATGGGCGCGAGGATAGACTGCAGGCTGGCTAGACTTAATAACCCTGCGGACAACCTGGGAGACCCAAGCCCTGGAACAGGGAACGAGGGAAACCGGATCAACCCAAAGCGCATCCCCAGCCACCCCGGCTAAAACGCACAGGTAACGGCGAAGTGCTGCAACCTGACACAACACATGATGCACCCCCGGCCGAACCAACCAAGCATCAATGAACCACGGACCGAAAGCAGCCATCTCGTTCTTCGCCAGAAAAGATGGAGAAGGCTGCAAATGGACAAACCTACCCCCAGGACCAAAAGAGCAGAAACCCCTGTGCCGGAGGAAAGCATGAAGCTCCCCTACCTGGCCCCCAGAGGCCAATGCCAACAAAAACAAAGCCTTGGAAAAACAATCCAGAACCGAAGGGGCCAGCACAAACCGAGGAGAGGAAAAATAGGAGAGCACCCTGTCCAAGGACCAGGACGGCTCAGGAGGCGCATGAGCAGGTGGGAGGTGAAACATAGCATGGGAAAGTTTACGAAACGGGGATGTGATGTCCACCCCGAAAGCTAGCTTGAGCAGCTCCACCAGCGCCACACGATATGAGGCGACAGTATTAGGCATCAAATGACGATCCTGAAAAAGCCAAGAAAGAAAGGACAAGACAACCCTATCCGAAAGAAAAGACAACCTACAAAGAGCTAGAAAATGGTGAAAAGAATGCCAGGAAACTTCATACTATTGCTGAGACGATGGTCTCAGGTGGGACACCATCAATGAAGCCACCTGATCACCATAGAATTGGTGATACACCTGCAGTCAAAAGAGCAGGTGTATCACCTGCTCTTCGTGTATCAAACACGAAGAGCAGAGGAGAAGGTTGAACCAGCCCTGTACCGGATCGGACCGACTTGCTGAAAGCGGCGGAGCCACGGGAAACGTCCTGGGTTCAGGCACCGAGCCAATAGCACCGGAAACCAAGGCCGGCCACTAAGGGGCCACAAGGACTACTCTCCCTGGGAATGTCTCCAACCGAACCAGAACCCGAAGTAACAGCTGAACCGGGGAAAAGAGGTACAGGTAACCCCACCTCGATCAGTCCTGCCGAAAGGCATCCACGGCTGACGCTTTGCAGCCGGGGAAGGGTGTCACATATATTGGGAGACGCCGAGACCACGCCGATGCAAAGAGGTCCACATCTGGGAGACAGTACGTCTGGCAGATCCACCGAAACGAGTCGTTGACTACCGTCCACTCCGTGGACAGGTTATGGAAGCGAGACAGACCATCCGCCAGAACGTTGGACACTCCGCGGACATGAACCGCACAGAGAGCCAAACCCCGAGAATCTAGCAGACGAACCACTCGAAGGGACCAACCTCAAAGAGCCAAGGACCGATGAGAACCCCCGCGGTTCAGGCAATGAACCACTGGGGAACAGTCCGAATGGAGGTGAATGGTTGATCCCCGAGCGACCCGAATCCCCCGAAGAGCGAACCAGACTGCCGCGAACTCCCGAACCGTGCTGTGAGCCCGACGGAAGGATGGACCCCGTCGTCCCTGGCCTGCCTGGTGAGCACTGGTCACAAAGCCCCAGCCAAGAGACGACGCGTCCGTGAACACATCGAGCAAGGGCTCGGGAAGGCGCCAAGGCACTGAACCCCGAAAACCCCGAAGAGGACCCGACCCGACGGGTAGACTAGCACGGCGAAGTTCAGACTCCCGCACAACCGCTCGAGCAACCGCCAAGTGACCCGGGACCCCCTCAGAAACAGCCGACAGCGGTCCTGCAGCCGTGCCTACTATATCGTGCGACACTGGCAGGGCCACTCCAGCTTGCATTTAGTGTTGATGTTACTTCTGCCCCTTTCCACAAGCAGTCTCGTGTGTTGTTTCACCTCTGGCCTGCTCATGCGCCTCTTGAACTGCCCTGGTCTTTGGACCGGGTGCTCTTTCTCTTCTCTCTCCTCCTCGGTTTGTTGTGGCCCCTTTGGTTCAGGAATTGTTCTTCTAAAGCTCTTTTCCTGTTGGCATTGGCCTCTGGGGGTCGAGTCAGGAAGTTTTATGCTCTCTTCCGGCACAGGGGTTTCTGCTCCTTTGGTCCTGGTGGTAGGTTTGTTCGGTTGCAGCCATCTCCTTCATTTCTGGCAAAAAATGAGACTGCTGCTTTCAAAGGGGTCCTTGGGTTGTTGATGCTTGGTTGGTCAGGCCAGGGGTGCATCATGTGCTGTATCCGGTTGCGGCTCTCCACCGTTATTTGCACACCACGGCTTTGGTGGCCAGGGATGCACTTTGGGTTGACCCAGTTTCCCTCCTTCCCTGTTCCCGGTGTAACACGGGTTTGTGGTCCCCTCTCTTTACTTCCTTCTACTCCCTCTACCCGTATTCTTACTTTTATTTCTAAACCAAGGGACTCCAAAACTTTTAACAAAGCCAACTCCACGCCACGTGGTCCTAAGACGATTGACCGACTTAGGATTCTACACCCAGTATGACGTGACCTAAGCTCTGAACAAAACCCTAGAGTCACCTCTGCTGCCACCACCAGACCAGTAATACAAGAGCAATGATCGAGGTCTGGATCGATCACGCTAATTAATCAACCTAGGGGCTTGATCCCCACTATAAACGATGACCTTGAGTGTGGAATAAATTACACGGTAATGATAATTCCGATTCGATGTTAGAATCGGCGCCCAATGCAACTCTGCCTCGTGTGGACCACGTGACCAGGACAAGTATACACATAAAACACATGGAAACAATAAATGCAAATTAATAACAAATTTAATTTATTAAAAGAAAACTAAAACAAAATCTAAATGTGTTCACTCCCTATCACTTTAACACTCCCTACTTGACCTGAATGGCAAATGAGAAGACTATCCCTATAATTTACAATAGCAACTATACCTTGGGCGACCACAGCTCTGGGTGTTGTGCTGGTCTTGTTGGGGAGAGGTAAGATGTTGACCTCTTATCCCAGCTGCTTCCGTGACCACACTGATTTTTCCCTTGTCTCGTCTCCCCCAGACAGAACATTGTATCCTTGCGCCTAGTCAAAGTTCTACCCAGTTACTAGCAAGGTTTAAGTTATAACAATTAAACTCGGTTGTACTTAATTGATCCAGACTAGTTGAATTATTTTACTGAAATAAATTACACAAGCCTCTAACGGCAGAGCTGTTCCCGATCACAAAAATGGTTATTAAAACTTTGAGAAATATTAGACATGTCAACCCTTGATGACCTATGACCGCCGGTCACTCCGCTTTAAAAGTTAGATCCGATTCGTGACGTCACTGATGGTGACTTAAACTCAATAATTAGAATACTCTTGATATTGTATCCAGTACTATTATACAATACAATTTTAATGCAAAATGAATAAAGGCTAATTTTCTCTAAATTACTTGAATACTATAGGATGATTCATTATACGCAGATATGAACAAAGCGTCGGTTATTTCCACCGCGAATTCCCCTGGGGGTCAGGTCACCATGCGGCTCAGCTTCCCATTCTCTTTTGTCGATAAACCACTCTGGATAATTCTTACAACAGCCTAGTCTGTTACAACCCCCCCGCACAAGCATTTGTTAAAATTCACGAGGTTTAGTATCCAAACCCACAATTCAACTCATGCCACAAACAAAAGCTAACCTAACTAATAAAATTTGACAAATAATAGTCCAACATCATAATGAACATGTTCATATTTCATAAATTTCTCAGCTGTCAACTGACAGCAATCCTCCAATATCAGGAAACATACATCCTATCCTTACTGACATAGCTAAATAACATGTCCCTACTCTACCATCAAAAACTAGCTATTAAACTCTCTTGGCTCTTCACCAGCCAAGTCCATGTGTCCTCTAGAGCCGGCCACACCGTGCTCAAACATAAACATTAAAGTTATATCATCAGACTGAACTTTCAGTCATCCGGGAGCGTACTACGGAACTATCAGGTACTCATCCGTGTACTAACCACTCCCCATCAATGTCAGCCTTGACATGTTAAGGAACACACCTAATGTTTATTAAATGTATCTAAAAATAAAAAAAAAATTCCTATACTAAATCACAGGTTTCAGCTGACTGTACAGCCAAGTGTTCTCACTCACTAGAAGTGTCAATGTTTATATTGGTCCG